TTTTTAAGCACATCAGGGGAAGGCAAAATACGAGGTATACCTTAAATGCCAACGTCAGATCTCTCTGCCGTATCTGCTGAACGGTTTTTCGGGGGAAGTTATAAAGTTTCTTCTTCGCGAAAATTCGTTTGCACAATGGGCCATTTACTTTTGAAATTCTTAACATATATATGCCTTTAATCAGCGACGTTAAATCTCATTTGTTTCTTATCTAAGCTTTTCACCCAAAAGTGAGTTTTTACTTCGTCCTTTGGGTGGTTTTTTCAGTGTGAGCAACAAATAGCAGATTGGGCACGATACTTTTTGCAAAAAAAAAGCTTACATAACTTTTTTGGGAAAATCGTTTGGCAGAGGAAAGCAGACTTTGAAACAGCAAGTGCGTTTAACAGTATGCTTCTTATTCTGAACGGCCAAGTCAATAACTATCCTTTCCTTGTAAGGTTATAATTTCTTTAGTGCTACGCGAATTTTTCATACAAATTAATCTCGACTAAATCGCGTATTGATGCAAATATACTTAGAGATTTTCATACGTGCAATGTCTTTATGTCTTCATGTCAATATCCTCTCAAACCCTCGATTACGGATTGTCAAAAGAAAATAACGTAAAGCAATGAAACAAATGAGGATTCCAATGTAGGATGATATGTTTTTTAGACAATACCACACGCTTTCAAGAGTTCTATGTTTTGGGCTTTTTTACCGAGAAAGAAAGAAGGAATTTGCGACGCATTTTAGGGATACATGGGCTCTTATAGGCTTGCCTTCTTCCAGTATTTAACAATTACGATGTCTTTTGCCTCTTTTATGTGATGGATCGTGTTTTTATATGGTACGATGAGCGCACTAAATGAGATTCCCGAAACATTGCCTTTACGTACATATGCACTCTCTCTAGCAAATGACATGATTTATGTATATCTGGTTATTACAAAGCACCTTCATCAGATCTAAATGTTAGCCATTAAATGGGTTTTCTTTCGGTAATCGTAATTTAAACAAACAATTTTCTCTGATCTATTAGTACGTTTTGTTATGTTGATTTCGAATACCGCCTGCATAATCGAGGCTCCCTTTGATGTATGAATGACAATCGCTGAATATTTTTGGCATATAAGGCTTACAGCCTGCATAAAAAGTTACAAAATTCCTAAAAAATTTTTAAACAAATTCACTGAGTTATTGCGTTTGAAAACTGCACTCTTGGATTTTTCTTCGAAAACGAGAGGGATTTCAAAGTGCCTGTCTGCTTTTACTACATCTGTTAATGTTCTGTTGACGGCTCACGAGGTTTGCTGGAATCCCTCATTTATTATCTTGTAAAGAGGAAAAATTGACTTTTTATTGGTATGTAGGTCATTGCAAAAATTCTTTGAGATAAAAACGTATGGAGCAAGCTTTGACTCTGAGTTTAATTGTGACAGATTCTCAGATACACTAATATAAATTGCTTCCAAAGTTTTGAATTTCTTATGCTTATTATAAAATT